ATACCCCAAACCCTAAACTCTTAAGCGAAATCCTAAGGTTCAAGCTACGAGGCCCCAAGTGCGATCCCAAACCCACAACCCCCAACCAAAATAAAGACAACCCAACTCCGAAAGCGCAGGGTTTAGGGTTTAGGTGTGTAGGTGTTTAGGGTTAGGGTGTAGGGTTTAGGTGTTTAGTGTTTAGGGTTTAGGGTTTAGGGTTTAGGGGTTTAGGGGTTTAGGGGTTTAGGTGCTTAGGGTTATGCCTAAAAGAAGGGGGGAATCATCGGTGGCTGCCCCCAAAAGCCTGGATAGCGAGATCCTCAGTACATACTAAACCCCTAAACCCTGAACCGTAAACCCTAAATTCAAATCATAAACTTTGAAGCCCTTACTGTAAACCCTAAACCCTAAATCCTAAACAAAGCCATAGCCTAAGGTTGAACCCATGGGCCCCTAGTATGGGCCCTTAGCCCTGGGATCCTTATTCACCTACTATATACCCTATATGTTCCCTTAAGGGTCCCTAGAAAGGCCTAAGGGTCCATATTAGGGGCCCATACTTCTAACCTTAGACCCTAAACCCTAAACCCTAAACCCTAAACTCTAAACCCTAAACCCTAAACCCTAAACCCTAAACCCATACAGACGTGCCGCGATCTTCCCTAGGCGGGATGGTCTTCCATCTCGGCTGCGACGGCGTCGCAGCAGGGGCCTTCCGCATTGGGTTTAGGGTTTAGGGTTTAGGGTTTAGGGTTCAGGGTTTAGGGTTTAGGGTTTAGGGGTGTAGGGTTTAGGATTTTAGGGGTTTAGGGGGGTTTGACTTTTAGGACTCAAAGCCCAAAGTATCGGGAGGGTTTTTCGCTTTATCCTTGAACATGAGGCTCAAATTACATGTCTAGGCCCTCGGGTTATATAGGGTTCAGGGTTTATAAATCCCCCGTTTAGGGTTTTGGGTTTAGGGGTTTAGGGTTTAGGGTTTAGGGCAAATCCCCCCAGGCTGCACCATCGATGCTTAGGCTAAGGCTTCGGGGGTAGGTTCTGGTATAATTGTACGATCGAGGGATTGCCAACGGATTCGATTAGTTTAGGGTTTAGGGTTTCCGCCCCATATTAGGCCTTGGAGTGTGGGCCAGTAGGACTCGGATTAGGGCCGAAACGCCTAAGCTTCGAAACACAGAGGTTTCTGCAGGCACTCTGGTGATCCATGCGCTTCTGAGGCCACATTCAGATCGACTGCGATTTAGTTGCAGGGTTGAGGTTCAGGGGTTTAGGGGTGTTGGGTATAGGGTTGAGGGTCCGGTTTAGGGATCGCCTGGGCGTTCGAACCACGCCTAAATTTCGATTCACTCTTTCCAGTCCCCCAAAAACGCCCGAGGTACCTGCGCAAGCATCTTGACATGCCCAAACCTTTGAACTCCGCCACCTTTCGATATTTCAACATTTTGGGCTTTTAAGGTCAGGTTCTTTATGCTTGCCGGTTTGTGGTGATGGGTTTGGCGGCCGTTCATGTTCTTGGTTCTCAAGACCTTTCAATGTCCGAACCTTCGTCTAGCTTTGAAAGCTTCGAAACACCCTGCCTGAACACCACTCCTGCTGTTCAGCGTGTTGGGGATTCATGATGAACCCTGAACCCCGATACCCTAAAAACCCTGATGTCCTAGACACGAGAAACCCTTCAAGACTCTATACTGAAACGCAGAAGTCTTCTCAGCCCCTCACGCCCTAACGCAAAGCCCACACACCCTCTAAGCTCCCAAAGCCCTGAAGCAAACGCGCAACCCCATAAAACGCTTAAGAACCGTTCAAGACCCCATCAAAAAATCATTACAATATAAACCTCAGCGAACCCTGCAAAACCCTACAAACACCCAATGAAACCCCCTAAAGCCCCCCCCCCCCCAAGTTTAGGGTTTAGGGTAAAACCATCAGTTGCCTTCTCCGGTCCTTTGTCCCGATCCGCTTCCTCAGGCTTTTCGCTCCAGGCCAGTACCAATCTCAAGTCCTGTCGGCACTTAGGGTTTAGGGTTTAGG